TACGTAACAGCCATGTCCAGGGGCCTCTTGGATAAAAGCCCAAAGGAGGGGAAACCAAGAATTGAAGATCATCCGCATCGGTTCTGAAACCCCAGCTCGGCTTGGTTGTTTGGAAGCTCTCTTTCCGTCCTAGATCCATTAGTCCCAGCGAGACAACGAGTAGATTCGCAAAACTCGGCCTCCTCCCTAATTCCAGGCCAGACCGAAAGTCCCTCGACAGCTCTGAGAGATTATACATTCACTTCCTGCGCAGATAACCAGCAACGATGGTACCAGCCCCAGACGAGTCTACCCGTGCCGATATCACTGCCCGGCTCGACTCGCTCGCCTCCGCCCTAGAGCAGCATCCGCAATGGACCCCTCCGAACCCGCATCCAGCCCTCCTCCAGCTCTGGGACTTTGTCAAGCGAAGCCACTACATCATGACGGAGCTAGAAAACATCCGGACGGGCAGACCACTGAAGCACCCAGATCAGATCCCGCCCCACGAAGATGGTAAGTCGGAAGTCATGGTTTCTCCCCCGCCAATGATACGGATTTGGTACCTCTGAATTGGTCAGTACGGGATATAAAAAACTCTAACCAGATCCTCGTTTACTCTTCTTCTAGCCGCGGACAATGAGGAGAAGGCCCAGATGTCGTTCACCGACGTCCTCACCCGGGCGCTCACTATCAACAAGATCGTCAGCACGCCTTCCATGATGGCCATCATGGGTCAACCCAACATCGAATTCGGGGACGACGTCAAGGCCAAATCCCAGGAGCTACAGGACGCCATACTATCTATTCCAGAGTAAAAGGCAGGATCTGGCAGGAACACAGCACTCACGGCCAGTCGATAGCACCTGGGTGTAATCCCAGCCAAGGAAAACAAGCAAGCTCACAGGGTCTGATGAAAGATCAATATATCAAATTTCCCAAAGGCCTCTCCCTATACTATGCGCAGCGCTTGTCGCGCGCGCTACCATTTCATCAAGTCGTGTCAAACTAAATCCCAAGTCCAAAATACAAGCCAAATCAAAGCCGGCCCCCTGGCTCGTAGCCTTGCCTACCTATCGTGGCACCATCAAAACTCCGATCAATTTCCCCCAGTTGTTGAATCCGCATGTTACATCTGACGATATGTCGCGCCAGTCCACAAGCCCCTGAATATGTGTATACCTTACATTAAAAAACAAGATCCCACCAACCAGGTGGGGAGTGTACAGGAAACGCCCTTGCCCTTATTGCGTACCGGCCCATCGGCCCTTGCCAGCACCAGTCTTCTCAGACACAAGGCGGCGGCCAATGTTGCCGAAGCAGATGCTGCTGCAGAACAGTACACTCAACATCCAAACGCCTGCCTCGACGGTTTCTTGGCTAGCAATCCCGCTCAGAGCCGAGTAGAGTTCGGAATCGACGCCGTAGCTGCTGTTTCCTGCGCTTGAACCCGCAGCTGGGTGGAAAAGTCCCGAGGGGGCGGGCATCATGTCTGGATTGACGCCCAAGAAGACAGCCGAGCCCAGCACAGCAACGATCGTGGAGAGCATGAAGCCGGCCTTTGATCGATCAATGATCCACCACAGGAGTGGGTTGACGAGGGCGAGAGCGAGAGACGCCTGAAGACTTGAAGTCCAAGTCAATTTGCGCTAGAAGTATGATTGTTAGTTCCCGCTTGATCTGAAAGGCAGGGGATATCTAGAGCTCAGGGACTCACAATGGCGAAAACAATGCCAACAAATGCTCCAATTGCGCGCATCACCAGGGTCCAGTCAGTCGAAGCATCAGGCTCTGCTGAAGAGGCAGCATCCACAGTGCTCGCATCATCGTCCACCTCACGGCCAAAAGTGCTTTCCCACACATTGTCGATCCAGGGAAGAAGGGATCCGAGGACGACACCAGAAATTCCCCAGAAAGCAAGATAGTACGTATCCTGTCTGGGCTGGATCATGCCTGCAGGGAGACTGGGCCACTGGCTGTTGTCCTGTAATCGAGTCAAGACCATGCCGTATCCAACGCCGAGGGAGAGGAGCAAGGCAGCACGCCTTGTCGTTGAAATCGGTGCATGCGACGCCGAGGCCGGGGTCGCGGCATGGGGGATCGTAGTATCAACTGTTCGGTAGACGGATGGTCTTCGGCCAAGATGTGATCTCTCCTTCATGAGCTCGTACGTCACATCATCGAGGGTGGGTCTTCTGATTGGGGTTTGCGCCCCTGTACCCCAGGGAGTATCATCCTCGTCCCTGTCACCAAAAGCTCGAGAAGTGGTGGTGGGCGAGTAAATGCCATAGAGGGTCGAGGATGTGAGATTCATATAAGACGGAGGGCGGCTGATGGAGGAGCCGGCTTCTGTAGGCGTTTTGTATCCTACATTGAGGAAACGAGATCTGAAAAGATCGAGGTTCGACTTCGATGGAGGGAGCCCAGCGCTGTCATCCTCATCGTCCTCTGGAGGTGTTGCGGTCGTGAGGTTGATGTTGACCGGGAAAGGCCGTCGTGGGATGGGTCGAAAGAGAGGTGGTCCGTCTTCTGACATTGTAGATTGACAATCCAACTCCTAAAAGAGTGGAATTTGTAGGAATACGGAGGTGGGCAGGTAAGTGTATCGTAGAAAAAGCGGAAACGGTCCTTTTCACATGTCAGTTCCAAGTTCGGGAGGGGCGGCAGGGCAAAGTATGGACACCGTCGTACCTTGTTCGCGCGAGAGTCTGGCTTTGGTCAATGGACACCGCAAGTCTGGGGGATGGATGAATTAAGTATGGGACTTCCGGAATCAGGTCTGAGTCAATCGACTTCCAACGGGGTCGCAAGAATCTTGACTCTAAGACACGGCTGTTGTGGCGGCAACGCTAGTAGAAATAGAAGTCCGGTCCCTGGTCAGCTCAGCCCAGACAAGGGTTCTTCCTAGCTCTGTGAGATGACTTCCGAGTACGACTGGGCACAATTGTTCGGTTGAGAGATTGGGGAAACGGCGCAGGAGGCGAATGCTTGAAGAAATACCCAACAGTTCCGAGTGAGAGACGAAAAACACGAACGAACCTGCGAGGGCCGGCCTATTATTAATTAAGCCCCAGAAAGTAAAGTGGACGGGTCTAGTCCATTGCTGAGCTGCGGCCACTACGAGTGTCGGCAAGTACCTCTAGCGAGGTACCAGCATGAGTCGACGGTAGCTCAGTTCCATCACATGCTCACAGATCAGATCAGCTGAACTGGCGAGAAGACTTAATTAGCAACCCCGTCCCGTCTGCAACCTAGTCTGCGACAAGCTGTGAGTAATACCATCCTTGGAGGGTAGGTAGGTCGGCAGCTAGTGCTACGTGGGCATTGCATGAGAGCACAGGGGTCCCCTTTAAGCAGCATGCAGAGGCGATGTGCACAGGCGATATCTGCAGAGGTCACGCTCAATTGCAGTTGTACATCAGGCAATCTGCATGTACATGGTGGAGCATCGCTAGTGGTGTCCCAAGGAGAAATAACGCTGGCCCTATTGGCTGGCCCCTAGCGCCAACCGTTCAGCGAGCCCACTGGTGCGGTGACATTGTGGCTTCACTTAGGCCAGTGCCTGTAAGCATGAAGCACTCAGGCGTCGCTGGGCTGCTATTGATGTGACCCGACCTATTCATCTCTCGGGGACATGAGGCATCAACAGATCCCATCCCCTTGAAATTCTTTTTTCCGAATATGGGCTGCTGCAGATTGCAACAGACCAGGGCTGCGATTCGGATCTCCCTACTCTGCGCCCGAGTGGTCTGTTTTGCGTCGCAAATCACCGCCCCCTCCTGCTAATCTGATACGATTTGTGGCCAGCCCATACGACAAGCCCGACCATCGGATTTGACAGCAGCCGCACCACCACCGGGCGCTGGGAAAGGCCACGGCCATCACCGTCCGCCCGTTCCGAACACGGGCAACCAGCGCCTGGGTCCAAAGTCTAAACCCCCGAGCCAGATATGGTCCAGAGTCACCCCTTCGTCCTTCCATTGCCTCCGACCCTGAACCAGATTGCATGTGAGCAAATGGCAGCAAGGGGGTACCCCTGCCCTGCTACCCCGACCCAGATGCTACACGATGACGGTATGGCAGCTCCTCTTTTTGCATTTTTTCCCTCGCTTGGTGCGCGGGCTTAGCCATTACCCCACACTCGGGTCGCTGTTGCTAGACAACTAAACTGGAGTTCGGGGGCTGGGCAGCTTTTTGCCTGAACCCGAGCCCGTAGATCGATGAAAGCGAGCGAGCTAGCGAGCTCCATTTGCCCTGCCTGCGTCGGGGGCATGCAGTCGCCCGGGTGGGCTTCAACACCACAGCGGGAATTCTTCAAACCCCGCTGTCGAACAGATCCCGATCTAGGTAAAGTCCTCTACAAACTTGAAGCTAGGTGTTCCCCCGCAGACGCAAGTGCAGGCTTTCTTCATATCCTCTCCTCCGGAGCGCGCGTAAGCGCCCGAGAACTTACCAGGAAAACCAAAACCGTTCCAAAGCTTACCCCGGACTCAGGGCTAGAACGGAACGATCGACAGGCCTAGCCTTCTGGTCCACCAGACGGTGGTCACGCTCTTCATGTGAACGAGGGGTATGCCACCTGTCCAGCCAAATGGGTGGGTGACACACATAGAAGGTGGCACGCCAGGAGGCTACGCGCCGAATCTGGGGTACGAGGAATATGCGCATCCATGCACGTAGTATTCCCCCCGAGGAGCAATAATAGCTTCCGTGACGGGTAAAATAGTGCAACTGTCCATGTCTTCATCTCGATGATGTTGCTCTCATTGTGCTCCTGGCTGGCATTGGCCAAAGTCAACATCCAAAGTCGAGACCCCTTCATGCACCGCCCACTCGCCCAGCCTAATCCGCCTGCATTCCTCCACCAGCATACCTACGTCCATACATACCACGGCCAGTCCGAGGTGAAGCCAGTCATTTGCTTTTACTCTTGGAACAGTCATTTACTTTTTGCCCTTGGAATTCAATCAATTGACATGGCAAATGAACGCCAGCGGTAATTCTAAATTATCTTGTGCCAATTATGTACTTTCTCCGTCATCCTCTGAACCCGCCTCCGAGTCCTCGGAATCATCCACCTCGTACTCACTCTCCTCAGCTCCTTCGGGCAAGGGTATCATTAAGTAGGCCGCCATGCAGGTAATGCGGTTTTGGGTTTCATACGACGCCACCAGCTTGCCAATTGGAGCCGAGAGCGCTGGCTTCTCGGTCGCCTTCTTCAGCTCCGCGCGGCTCGCCGTCCATAGCCTGACCACCCCGTCGCTGCTACCGCCAATGATGTAAAGGAGATCCGCGTCGGTCTCGCTCCTCACGAGGGAAAACTCCTTGATGCGCCCAGACACCTTGTCGTCCTTGCCTCCAACCTGCCCAATCAGACGGGCGGCGCTTAGCTCGGCCTTCTCGTCCGTTGGTTTGGTAATGTGTGCAGCGGCAGTGGAGAAGAAGGCGATCCGGCCATCCTCTGTCGCGACTGCAATCACGGCCGTCTCCTCCTCGTCATCCAGAGTCAGGTACTCGAACTTGTGGATCTTGGTCTTCGAGTCCGGCATCACCCTGCACTTGGGCGTGCTGTCCATCCCAAACACGACGATGTCGCGGCTGAACCCAACCGCGAACTCGTCCGCACCGTCCACGCTCCCCCACGTGACCTTCAATCCCTCCCCGGTCGAATGCCTGCCCTCTCCGACCTCTTGTAGCAGGTTGCGCTCAAAGTTGAGCACGCCAGCCTTCTTCCCCGTCATGAGATTCCAGAGCCTCATGCTGCGCTCTGCCTTACTGACACTGATCATCAGCTTCATGCTGGGGTGGATAGCAAAGTCGTTCACACCAGACGGCGCACCCCCAAAGACGGCAGTGTCACCGCTCGGCCGGCCAAACACGTTCGGCTTGGGCGCCTTGATCGAGCTCAGCAGCGACCAGTCCCTCGTGCGCGTCACCGCAATCGTCGAGTCGTCGCTCGACGAGAGCAGCTTCGACCTCGTGGGGAACCGCAGCGCCGTGACCGTGGACGTGTGGTGCAGCAGGGCGCCCAGCTCCCGGTTCCGCGGGTTCTCCAGGATGGGCCGGGGCGCGATCGTGGCCAGCAGGTCCTCGCCCTCCTTCTTGGGCGGGTGCGCCGACAGCTCGTAGAGGTTGATCTTCTCGTCCGCGCTCCCCGATGCCAGGAACACCTTCTGCATCTGACCGGCCGCGGGGGCTGAGGGGGGCGACACGGCCACGCAGCGGATCGGCGAGGTGTGCGCTGTGAGCAGGAACGTGTCGGCGAAGTCGGCGACGAACTCCTGTTTCTTCTTCTTCTTCTTTTCCGTGTTCTTTGCCCCGACGGTCGCCGTCAGGCCGTGCAGGACTCGGTCGTACGATCCCACTACTATTTGGAGGGTTTCCGTTGCTGAGGGTGCTGAAGAGGCCGTCGGTTCGGCAGTCTTTGTAGGTGCTGTAGTCTCAGGTTTCTGCTTCTTAATTGTCGCCGTGGCCTCCGAGGGGGCCTCAGCCTTGGGGGGGTTCTGTCTCTTGCGTTTTGCCATCTCAATTGCTGTGTTGGGGTGGCTGTGTATGTTTTTCTTTTCCCAGGTAGGTCGGTTGCTTCAGATGGCATGAAGCCTGCTGGTAAAAAATAAAAAAAAGGTTATCGATGGGCCGATAAGATAACCCGTTATATGCACAGGCCCCACCACCATGCATATCTTCAAAATGACTAGGATCTGGGTTCAAAGGTCTTTTGCGATCGAGGTATTGGGAAATTCGTAAAATGAAATAAAAGCTACTGCTTCTGTAAAAAAGATTGTATAATTTCTATAACCAATGTGTGATAGTATATTCTTTTCTCAGATGTATATGCCTACTTTGCCATCTCTATCCATCTATAGCATCTAATTGTACCTGGAAGAGCAGAACAGATCGGGCACAATGCATTGGAACATAAGCTAGGCGGCCCTGGGCCTGAAAATGCACGGCTGATATACCACTGACTATGTCTAAGTACATATTCCAATTCATGGGCAAAGCTTGCTCGATTTGCGTCTATATGATGTTACCATGTCCCTCATCTAGGTTGTTCTTCTACACCCCTCACTGTCTAGGCCCCGCACCTTCCATGGCACTTAGGCTGGGAAATCTCTGGGAGAAGTCTCGAATATAATTGTCCTTGTCGTCACCTGACATCTCGAGCGCTGGCTGGCCAGGCAGGTCGAAGGCAATGAGCTGTTCTGAAGCCGCCGTTTGACTCCTCTTTGGAGGGGAAGGAGGCCGGTTTCCAGTTGGAATACTATTCAAGTGGCCCGGCTTCTTGGGAGCCACTGGCTTCAATTGTGGTTTTGGCGTCGTGGGGATAACCGGGGAAGCTGGGGCTCTTCCCGTGGGTTTGGAGGGCACCACGGGCTTCCGCGGGATCTCGGGGGGCTGCCTCTCGACCTTGCTCGCTGCAGTAGCCGCATCCGAGTACTTGCCATAGCCTTCTGCAGTCTTATGCACGGTTGTAGTTGTGCGCTGGTCTTCATTGAGAAGATTCTGCACTCGGTTTTGAATGCTCTTCGCACGTGGGACTCCTCCGATGCTTCTAGGAAGTGCTGCAGACTCCGATGCAGAGCCACCTTCCGCTACGCGCCTGCGGTACTCAGCCTGGGCAGCTTCGACCCTCTGCTCCTCCTCCTCGAGTTTTCGTCTCTCCATTTCCCGCCGCGCCTCCGGAGTCATCGATTCATGATCGTCGTCAAACTTCCCATCATCACTTCGACCATCCGTGGCCTCAGATCCAGCAATCGGTGTCAGGTCGCGCCTTCCGGCAGGAGGAGGGGGGGTTGGGTTTGTTTCGAACCGTTTGAAGGCCTCACCGAACCGGGTTGCAAGCATTTGCTTGGATCCAGAGAGTGATGACAGACTGGAACGCTTGTTTGAGGTCTTGGTTTCGGAATCTTCCATGCTCCTGAGAAAGTCCAGGTCGTTCTTCTCGGCTCTCGGCTCATCTTCCGTGGAAAGCAGGTTTGGAGATGGAATCCTTGGCGAGCCTCTGGGAGAAGGCTGCGCCAGCCGGTTTTGAGAGCGAGGCATAGACTCTCTCTCGCGTAGATAGTCAATGGTAGTGCTGGATTCATAATTCACACTCTGTGGACGAGAGCGGCTGACATGGAGACTGTTCTTGCGCGGGGCTACCTCAATATCCGAGGGAGGTTGGCTACTTTCCAACACCTGCCGAGACTGTGAAGGATGTCGAATATGTGAAGAAAAGTTGGATGTCAATCGAGAGTTCGAACTCGTACGAACATCGCCAGGGTGACCTTGCTCAACTGCCAGATCAGGTTGCCTAGAACGACTCAATGAGCGGCGAGGCTGCTCAGTCTGATTCTGTGTTCCTCTGTATGGAAGCCTGGCCTGGGGATCAAAAGGCAGGTCATCAGTCGAAGTGCCAGTGGATACATAGTTGGCAGATGAATTGGTAGATATTGCCTGTAGTTCCGGGTTGCTGCTAATAATGGATTGAGCCCGACTTATTTCAGGCTTGGGTGGAACGGGGACTCTTGGTTTCGACGCCTCCAGCTGTTGCGGAGCAGGTCTAGGGCTGGGTTGGGCCGGACTGGCAGAAGCAGGCCTGGAAATGACCTTGGGCGTTGGGGGACTAGGTCTGTTGGATGCAAACGCCTCATCTGCCAAGCGCTCCGTGATCTTGTTGGTCACTTCTCCCACAGCAGGTGCCTGCGTTTGAGGAGAGTTGGGATCGTCACCGAAATCAAATTTGGATCCCTGATCATGAAGTAAAGAAAACTGGTCGAGGGAAGGGAACCTTGACGAGAAATTATCAGGCGGAGGAGACGCCGCAGGTGCGCCAGCTGGTGGAGCTGCTGTCGAATCTAGAGCAGCAAAAGGATCACCTCCACCAGCACGCGGAGCGTTTGACTTTGGCCCTGGAGCAGGGGATGCCGTAGGCCGTCCTCTTCTCATAGGAGTAATATCGGGCAGTTTTGGTTTTTCTTCGACCGGTGGTGACCAAACAGCGCCAACAGCAGGTGATCCTGACGACGTTGGTTCTTTGGGTAAAGGTTTCTCCAGCTTTCGGGTTTCGGAATGGGATCGCCCTGAGTAAATCTTCCGAAAAAAAGTCAGCAATCAATCTCTTCCCAGTATACGAGGCCAAAGAGGTACGAACATCGTGGATAGGTACTTTGCGGCCCTGCATCTCGCATGCCTCCTTCAGGATCTGGTATATATTCGGTCGTGACTGCATTTGTTCTCTCAACATCGACGCTACCAAGGTAAGTCATTAGCCAAGATCGCAAACAGGCAATAGTCAGGTATTCAAGTAGGATCCTCGTACCGATAAGTCTCTTCAATCTATCAGAAAACGGGGGGGAACTCGGGAACCGATAACTGGCGTTCAGGATGGCTAATTGTCCCTGGTCCTCAAAAGGCGTGGTATAGTAGCAAAGTTTATAAAGGAAGACACCGAGCGCCCAGATGTCAGTTTTCTCATCCATTGGCTGCTTCCGGTAGACGTCAACCATTTCAGGACTTCGGTATTGGAGGGTGGTATGCTTCTGGACATCCTCGTCCATCAATCGGCACTCAGTAACAGTCGTCGGCGCTGGCTTCGGCGGTGAGGCGGACCCAAAATCACACAACTTGAAACGCTTGGACGACCCCTTGCTGGTTATCAGGACGTTCTCGATCTTCAAGTCCCGGTGCAGCAGAGGGGGCTTCAGGTAGTGCATGCAGGCGACCCCCTCGGCAATATCGCAGAAGATGTTGAGGATCTCGGGCTCGGTCAGGCGGTGCTGGAGGCGGGTGTTCATGAAGTCGATCAGGCCGCCGCCGCTGCAGTATTCCATGAGGAGGAACACCTCGAAGCCGCCTCCCTTGAGCTCGGAGGCGTGTGAATCGATATACGTGACGATCATGCGGTGGCCCTTTAGTCTCTTCATCGTCTCGACCTCGGTGCGCATGCCCCGCAGGGCCTCCTTATCGGGCACGGCGACTCGCTTGAGAACGGCGAGGTCAGTGCCATCGATGGGCTGCGGCATCTTGACGAGGTACACGTGCGCGAAGCCTCCCTCTGAAAGGTATTTCTGTATAACTACTCGGTGGCCGCCGACCTGGATCTTGGTCCCGGAGGCGAAGGTGCCAGCGGGCGCACCAGCACCGGCAGCGGCCATCTGAGGGGGGGCGTACCCGCCATGGGGAGGGTGTCGTGACGGCCCTCGAGGAGCCGCCTGCTGGCCGAACGAAGCCATGGTTCGGGCGACTCGAGGTGGCGCCAATGGGTGGAAGACGTCGAGATGCGACCAGGTTCGTGGTGGTTTGAAGGGCGTTGTCCGGCTGACGTAGGCGGTCCGTTGTGGGCCAAGAAGCTGTGTGTCCCAGATCTACAGGGGGGCGGTTCAAATTCTAATGCTGTACGGTGGGCGGGCAGTTCAAGACATTGCTGAGATTCGAAACCCAGATGCAACAGAGCAGAGGGCAGACGGGATACTGTGCATTGGACGCTTTTGGCGAATTAAAATCGGACTCGTTTTGAAACGATTGTCCGAAGGAGTCGAAGAGCAGCAAGTGGAAACGGTGGTGCCTCCTGGAGGCGATGCTCAGCCATCCATTTAGTATTCCATGTTCCCGCTAGAAGACCGCCAAAGTACCGGCTACCTTGCCCCAGCGTCGGATCTCACACCTCCTCAGGTCCTCAATACCGTCTGCCTAGCCACCAGCCCAGGTTCTTTCAGGGGGACATCGGGTCAATCACTAAAAACAGAGTGGCCCTAGTCTGGTCAGTAGCATAATTTTACTGCCTAACCTACACCCGGGGATCAATAAGATCCCGTCGAGAAGTTGGGTTGTTAATATCTCATCGTGCAGGAGACGTGCTGGTGCCTGATGAAATAGTCGATCCCTTAATTACCCGACATATGTTCAGCTATCAATCCAATATACACCTGAGCGACTGCCAGCGTCTGAAGGTACCTATGTGTTGGTGCCTTGCAGACGCCACTTAGTGCCCCCTACCAATCAAGACCTCAACCAGCATGAACCTATAACAATCACGCTCACCTACTTAATCACGACCCTCAGACCGCTCAGATTTCCCAGGTGCCCAGTTCGCATTTGGATGATTCCCTGCAGTAGCAAACGTCAGCAAGATCACATCGAAATACATGGACCATTCTTCTCACCTTGGGGGGTTGTAAACCGCAACGCAGCAGTATCGTGAGCCTTGACGCTCATAGCAAAGCCGTCCAGAAAGACTCCCAGGTCCTCCCCTGTCCACATATCGTGCACCAGGTAGACCCGCTGCTTATTGAGCCCGGGCGTCTTGTCAAACTCGACCGCCAGGACGGCCTCCTCCGCATCCGTGTTCAACAAGAAGACATGGATGCCCTTGACCGAGATGCCCACCCAGTGACTGGGCGGATGGGCCGTGTCGTCCACCGTAGGCGGAACCGGCCCCTCCAAGCCGAACGGCCGCGCCGAGTCTGAGTAGTGCGTATCTTGGTTGAAATCAATGAGCTCCTTGTTGGTGAGAATCCCCAGCACCTTCTTGTCGATGCCCTTGAGCGGCGTCCCGATGATGAGCGGGCTCTTCAGCGCCGCCCAGAGCGCGAAGTGGCTCCGGTTCTCCTCAAACGTGAGATCCCCGTTGCCCACCTCCAGCATGTCCCAGTCATTGTGGCCCCAGAAACACGAATCCTCCCAGTGCCTCGCCGCCTGGTTGACGATAGGCATGATTCCCCATGAAAAACCAGCCCTGCCAGCCCAGCGAGGAAGAATGTCTCCCCTTCCATAGCAATCGTAACAAGTCTGCCGGAACCTAGATAGTGCCATATTTTCCGTTCGCACGCGTACTCATTCCACGAATTCCACCCCATGGCCGGCAGGCGCCCGATGCCGCCCGAGACACCGGCCGCCAAACCCGGTGAGGCGGCAAGCACTACAGCGGTGTAAGTCAGGAAGCTGCTCATCTTGATCACGCAACACCACATGGGCGAATGACTCTTTGTAAAACGGAAAGGAACTCCCTCTCGGCCCTCTTGGGACAGTAGGCAGACTTATAGCTCGTCCTGGTATTTTTTCCTTTTATGCCCTTTTTTTCTCTCTCTCTTTTGGCTTTTCAGTCCAGTTTAACTTTACTCACCTTCCTGGGTTGGACCTGGAACTAGGTTGAACGCTCGATCCATTCTGTCTCACTAGAATGTCAGAGTGAATCAGATGATATCGTCTTCTCCTATTCTCTTCCCCTTGGTTTGTTATTCAGTGTGCCACGAGCCAGGGGTTTGGGTGTGCCGGGTCTCTCAATCGGTCGCCAATTGGGGGGGTATGGGGGTAGGATCACACGCAAAGAATGAAAATGAGAGTGTGTGAGATGATGCAAACTATGCTGCCTTGATGTCCCTGGTGTTAGGTTGCTTTTGACTTTCTCCCGGAATGGTGGCCTGAGCGGCATCGACTCCGCGCGGGGAAGACCTTGATCAGGAACGAGAATTACATCGAGTGGACACACCTGCTGATCAGCTGCGTTATTCTGCAAGGGGTATAAAATTTCCTCGCCACGTAATATGAGTCCCAGTGCTGTGTCAAGGATTAAGCCGAAATCTACCAGGCGGTCACGCGCCCTCCAGGAATATTCCTCCGCCGGAGACAATGCTACATCAGTCACGCAGCCAATCAAGCCAAACACCAGGAGGCAACAAACTTCTCATGGGCATGAATGGGTGAATGAATGAACAGTTGATTGTAGTGCCACCGAAACCGGTACCCAACGATACCAGTAGCCACAAACAGTCTTGTGTAAATGAATCTTAATACAGCACTCAAGGGCATGAATATCGCAGTCTCCATACACCGCAATGCCCAAAAATATGAGCTCTTTTTCTCGCACCAATTGCCTCCTTCTAATACCAAATGTCTGGAGTATGCTGTTCTATAACGCAATTCCAACACCTGTCGTGACTTTGGGTTGCTCGAGAACAGCACGAAACTGCTTCTTCTTAAAAGCCATCGCCCCTCTCTTCTTTAGTCCAGCTTCGTATGTTTCCAGTGTCGCGTTGGCAAGTTGTCCTCAAACAAGATGTCAACCTCGGCCGGAGTACGATCCTTCATCTCAGGCAACCTAAAAAAGGCCCAGATCAGGCAAGCTGTAGCCGTTCCCGCCCACACGAGGGCTGCTCGCGGTCCAAGGCCTACCCCCACGGGCTTTGGATTAAGCAGATACGGAACGAGGAACTGGTTCCCAATCGAAAGTGTAATATATGCAGCACGAGAGACTGAGTTTGTCGTAGCTTTGAGACGAGTCGAAGGCGTCTCAGCAACAATGGTGTAACATAGAGGCCCAATTGTCATGTTGTAGATGATCGCAAAGAGAACCAAAAAACCAGCAATCATCCAGTGAATCTTCGAAGGCAGATATTTCTCAAATTGTCCAGTAATGCCAATTACCAGCAGACAAACGACCTCGAGACCTAGACCCCACAGCCACAGGGTTCTCCGACCAAATCGTCGCTGCACCAGCATGGAACTCAGTGTCGATAGAATGCAGAGGGAGTACATGACCATAGAAATTTCCATAGAGTTGGCCTCGCTGAGCCCAGATTGTTCCAGTAACTTAACTCCGTATGTCATCAAACACGTTCCAACTAGCTGTTGGGTTAGATACACCATAACAGCAATCTCGGTTCGTCGGCGGTTTGATTTGTTGAAGCATGCCATGTAGCCCATATCTTGGGAGAAAGCCTTTTCATGCTCATTGACCCGGCGGATTGCATCCAAGGATCCCTCGGCGTCAAAGAACGGATCCCGGTTGAGAAACTTCAGAACAGCTGCGGCATCTGCATATCTCTCCTGCCGAGCGAGGTACAGTGGGCTATCAGGAGCATGCCAGATTACCTATATCAGAGGGATGATCCAGCCATATTGTAGAAGCATGGGAATCCGAACGGCCCAGATGTCTTTCCCCATGCAAATGAAGCCACGGAGGATGCCGCAGCAGAGAAGCTGCCCAATGAGCCAGTAGATGTTGATCATGGTAGCAGCTTGTGCCCTCAGCTTCAAAGGCGTGATGTCGGAGACGTATGGGAGAGCTAGGGACTGAAATAGCCCCCAGGGGATACCGATGAGGAACTCTCCGGTGAGATAGACGGCTCGGTTTCCCTTCTCACCGCAGAAAGACGAGGCGAATACGACCACTAAGCAGAGAGCAGCGCATAATAGACCCTCGACATTGGACACGCGGTATCCAACCCTGTCGACAATCTTTGGCGCTACAAGCAGACCGAAAAGTTGACCGATTGTAGCAGCAGCGGTGATCGCGGACTGCCAATATGCTGGAATGATCTTTTGGTCCGGGGTTCTCTCTGTCGTGGTCCCGTAATGGGCGATAAAAGCTCCGTTTGAAAAGAAGTTGGGCATAAGCGATGTGTCGTAACCTTCAAGGATGATAGGCGCCGCCATGATGATCGCCCAGCGCATGGCCGGGTGGTAGTAGCGGAAAGCAGCGTTCAACGTTATCTCCTGTTCACGTATATTGGCCTGCCTGGCAGCCTCGTTCCCGCCGAAGAAGCTGTATATGGAACCCTCTCTATTGAGGACAGAAGAATGCCGATGGCTAGGGGCATTTGTATCACCCTCACCTTTCGCCTTGGGGCGTAGCGAGTCTTCGGCTGGCGGGTCATCTGGCGAGAACTGGGATCTTCGAAACCCCATGTTGTTTCTGGGAGAATGCTAAGAAAAAAAAGCACCTGTGCTCTCTGTTTGTTTCCAACTTGGCTTAACACGAATGCTGAAATGATACTGGCCTAATGGTGGTATTGTAACTGCGGGAGGAAGAATGCTTGATGGTAACATGTAGCGATCACTATTCACATTCCTTGATGCTGGCTCGTGTTGGCGGATGGGAGAGGATGTAATTCCCTGGTGGCAGTTCTCTTGCGATATGGATTCGGATGTTTTGCCGTATGGGGGGAAGGAGCAACCCGACCACAAGGCGTTTTCAGAAGGGTTGGATTGAACCAAGGTCGCTTAGGCTTCTCTGCCGTTCTTGCACTTACCGATAAAGGTACCTCGTTAATTCTCTCACCTCCATCCATGTAAGCACCTTCATGCTACCTTCTACGTGGGTAAGCATCCTGCCACTTCTATCTCAGAGTGGGATGCCAAGGGAAGGAATAATTTCAGCCTTGTGCCCCTCGTCGAACGAGGCACTGCAGTGGCATCAATATCCCGCCACATAATCCAGCCCGATGGTTCATGCGAAAGAAAGTAAGTAAGTAGGTGCAAAAATGTTTAGTGGAGATGAGAATCAATCCCAAGTACGCCTTTCCCACCAAGATACATGACGAAAAGTAACGAAAAAGACTACCTAAGTAAAAGAGACAAAACAATAGTAAAAAGGATTGAATAGAAAACATCAAGTGGCGTCTCTCAAACGATCCAACTCCGGTAGGTCCTCCAAAGCACTCAAATCATGAAGTAGTCTCGTTCTTCTTCACTAGTTTTCGCCGCATGGACTCAGCATACTGCTCATCCAATCCCCAGTTCTCAATCGCATCCGCAATGCCTATGTGCATTCTCTCAATGTACTCCTCCTTTGGAGCGCTCTCAACGACTCTCTCCTGATCAATGTACACTAACGCCGTCACTTCCTGCCCGACCACGTCGTTCTTCTGGTCGTCCTTGATCCAGGACATGTCCAGCTTGAATTTTTGGTATGCCCATGGCACTCCTTCATGCCTATCAAGGGAGTCTTCGTCTTGTGGTGGTAGCAGGTATAATAGACCAAAAACCCCAGATGAGGCTGGTGCTTTTGGACTCGACTCTGTGTCGCGGATGACATTCGCGTATCCTCGCTCGTTGATGATCCATTTCCAACCTGGAAGGTGGCCCAGGCCGATAGGTGTAGACGATGGGCATCGCTTGAGCATCTGACGAGTGGAGAGGTTCGAACCGTAGGCAAAGTAGATGATCTCGTGTCTCTCTTCCATCAACGTCATGGTGCTCCCCTGGGACTGCTGGCTGTCCTCGTGCACAAGCATCTTGGAGACTGAAGAGAAAAGTACGGGGTAAATTCCAGATGAGGGAGAAGAATTCAGGAGTAGTCAAGACGGAGGCAGCTTCCGAGAAAGATTGGCCGGCAGCTGATCTCAAGTATTTGTGGTTTTGTGATCTTCTGTGCTTTGAGGGTACGAAGGAAGAAAGGCTAATGGCCAAGCTCCGACATAAGGTTACACGCTGAGTTGCGATCCCTGGGCTGTTTTTGGGAGTCTGACTGCAGGTTATAAAGGTGAAAAGGCAAATCCAAGCCTCTCAAATACGCCTGCAACCTTCCGTGTTCCTCTCACAGCCGTATTCACTCCCTCGCTCCGCCTCTGTACAGTCAGGTGCTTTCAGAAAGCGGGTCAATTAGGAGATAGTCCATCCTTTGCTGCCTTGTTCGCAGACGCTCACAAGCTCAGCAGCTAAAAGGCGACCCAAAAAAAAGGGTTTGCATCACCAAGACAAGGCAACCAACTAACCCCCTGTCGCGGTAGTCAAAAGTGGAAAAAACTAGTGGGTACCCTCACCTTAACCAGCGATTGATTGCCTTGCCTTCTCTGGGGGAGTGTGCCAAGTCAACGCTTCCTCTCACTGTGTGATTCACGCAAGTCTCGGTGTAAGGTAGGTAGTATGAGTCAAAGATCCCTTTCAGTGTATTGCATGTCTCGTCCCTGTATTACGATTTACACCCATACCAAATCATCATGCCGTTCGCTAACACCAAACTGCCTCTACACTGTAATGCCAAAGAAGGTAGAAAAATAAAACAAATAACTTCATCCCGATGAGTGGGGGATTCAAGGTATCAATCAATCATCATGTCACCCCCCCTCAATCTACGTACTGCAATCATCAATCTTGCCTCATTATGCTCTCATCTCTCCGTTATATGCTGGCTGAATGTGGGGGAAGAGGAGAAAAACATCTCTTTCTCTTATGGTTTGTTTAGGTGATG